ATCCTTGTTCCGTGCTCAGGGTCACGGACGGGCACTGTGGAGGTCAGTCACCTTGAATGAGTCTCCCCTACACTGCACTGTGCTTCCCACAATCCGTCTCCACAGTGCCGTCTCCACATCTTCACAGTAACCCCCACTTTTCCCCATTTGGAACCCCAGAGCCTTCTCAGACCCTTCCTCCATCTGCCCAGCTCCTGTCAGTGGCCCATCACTCTGCAGTACTTCTCACTGGGTTTCCACCGCTCCAGCCCCATCCCCACCTCTTATCCATCCCCCTCCAATCCTCCAACAGCAAAAAACAAAAACAAAAAACTCTTGTGAAAGTAATACGAGCTCATGGTAAAAATCCAACAGTGCAGAGGTATAAAGGGAAAAAGTAAAAGCTTCTCCCACTCCCCTCCCTCAGAGATAACCTCTATGAGCAGTGTTTCCAGGGGCCTAGATGATTCTTCTGCACATTTAAGCGTTTGTCTCTAAGGGAGTGTCCTCTGGTTTTTCTTCAGAATGAGATTATCATATACACATTGTTCTGCAACTAGTTCTTTTTATCTAACAATGTATCTTGGACATCTTTCCAAAATCTACCCCACTCTTTTTAACACCCACATAATATTCCATGATTTAGATGTTCCAGATGTGATTTAACCATTCTCCTGCCATAGACACTTAGGTGGTTTTCCGTTTTTGCAATCACTATCTAATTGGTTCCCTGCCTCAGGTCTCAAACATACAATCTGCCCTCCACACCTCTGCTCAATTCCAACACCCAATCTGTCATTCCCAGCTCAACCATCTTCCTTGTGTTAGGGTTATTCATTAGGTGTCTTATCTCCCCTACTCCATCTTAAGCTTCTCGAGACAGTGTGTTCGCCTTGGAGTTCCTGGCAAGGAGCACTCTGGGCCTGTCAGCTCTGCAGTTTTTGAGCCAATCTCAGTGCTGCCCTAGGGAAACGTAAGGGGGTTCTCAGGCCACATGGACACTCCTTCTTTCTTTTCATATATATTCATTGGGAACTCTGTGGGCCTGGCTTTGTGCAGGGCACCAGAGCTCCAGGATGAAACAGACACAGACCCTGGCCTCCTGGAGCTTGCAGTTCAGTGGGCAAGACAGGCAGTGGACACTTGCACAGATAAAGACATGTAAAATTACATATGGAGTGAGTGCTTTGAAAGGAAACAGCAGTGGAAAAGAAGGAATGGGGCCACCAGGGAAGGCCTCTCTGCAGAGGCGATGAGATGCAGTGCAGAGAGGGCCAGTGGCAGCCAGCAAACCATGGGATCTGGTTCCCATTCCAGGCCACTCAGGACACTTCCCCTTTAGTCTTCTCATCTGACAAGAAGGGAAATCCCCCTTTCGGTTTTAACTTTCTGTGACAATAATAAATGCTATCAGAGGTCAGGGAAAGCAGAGTTCCCTACTGCCTGGGAGGGGTCAGGGGAGACTTCTCACTGATTTCACATTGATCTTGAGTCACATGTGGGCTCCAGTTTCATTCAATTCTGGGCCAAATACTTGTTGAGCAAATACCATATGTATCTAACAGACAGAGGTGGGGGGTGGGGGTGGGGAGGTGTTTAAAGATTTAAAATATGCAACCTCTGAAGGAGTTTACCATCTGATGGGGCATCAGACCCAGGAAAGGGTCATTTCAATATACGATGTCAAGTGAGAAGAGAGCAACTCATCCACAGCTGTGAGAACTGAGCATCAGCTTCAAAGTCAAGCAGGTCTGGGCTGGGCTCTGCCCTCACTGCCTGGCAGGGGAACATGGAGCTTCCTGAGTGTGTTCAAAGAGGGCTCCTGGAAAGCCCTGAGCTTGACACAAGCCTGCAGTGTCAGGCAGAGCTAGAAGGAGCTACAAGGGCATCTGGGAAGAGTAATCAGTGTGAAGATGGGAGCAAAGTGGAAGCGAAGGCACTTGAGACCATAGAGGAAAGGCATCCCACAGGGCACAGGGACCTGGGCCAAGTCAATTATACCAGCGTTGAAAAAAATTCCAAGCGAAAAAGAACAGTTTAAGGAGTGCAAGTGTCCCCCAGTCTCCTCCTGGGGCCACAGATTTCATGCCCCAGAGAGGGCACCAGATGGGAGAAGACAGAAATCTGCTGTTACCTCTGCCAGCCTCACTTCCAGGACTGTGTGTCTGTTTCTCTTTAGCATGATTAAAAATACTGTAAATTATATGCTTATATCTTGTTGTCCTCTTTATGACCCACTGTACATGGCTGAATGTATTTTGCCTATCTACATACATATTACTGTGCAAAGTTGTATACACAAAGCCATGCATACTGTACTTTATGAAAAATTTAAGAGCGTTTCAGAGGTAATTAGAACCATTTATGATTTTCCCCTCTTGGGCTGTGGGAGGGAGATGAATCTAGAGATAGACAAGGGCCTGCCCTGGAGGCTTGCTAGGCCAAGGTAAGGAGCCAGACTTGCTCTAAATGCAATAGGGAGTTATTAAAAGGTTCCAGAGGGAGGCCTTAGTGAGGCTGAACACAGGTAAAATCGATAGAAAGTTCCAGGCTCTCACTGTTTCTACCTAAGAAAATAGAGTTGCCTCCACAATCAGAGCAGTAAATCCCAAACCAGTTCTGTCCACAGCTCATCTGTGTGCCTCACTTTCTTCCTCTGTGAAGGATGTCTCACCTGCCGTAGTGCGGGGCTGCAGTAGCACAAGGCCAACTTTGGCAAGTGATGAGGCCTGAGGCTGAGGGGGCTTTGGGCCCACCTCAGCAAAACCCAGTGACATTGTTGTCAAATCTGAATGACATTCAGATTTGACATTACCTCCAGGGCTGACCAGCTCTGGAGTTGGTGCATCAGGATTAGGACATTATTCTTTGGGGAAAGAGCTTGGTGAAGCTTCTGCAGGCCTATTGATGTCCTTCTTTTTTTTTTTTTTTTTTTTTTTTTTAAAGTTTTTATTTTTTTTTTTTTTCCCCCCAAAGCCCCAGTAGATAGTTGCGTGTCACAGCTGCACATCTTTCTAGTTGCTGTATGTGGGACGCGGCCTCAGCATGGCCGGAGAAGCAGCGCGTCAGTGCGAGCCCGGGATCCGAACCCGGGTCGCCAGCAGCGGAGCGCGCTCACTTAACCACTAAGCCACGGGGCCGGCCCTGATGTCCTTCTTTCCAGGGCCAGAGACTCTGAAAACTTCTTGGGAGAGCGAGGCAACACGCCTCATTGTGCAGCCCTCAGCAAATGCAGCGGCTGCACCAAGTGCTAAAAAAAAGCTCCCATAATAACCATGTGTGATAATAAAAAGATAAAGAGGCAAATAGGTATGTAGGTCAGCTCAAAAATAGCCACCCACCCATTCGGCCTGGGTAACCATTTGAGCCAGGTGGGTACAAAGGGTTTTCTTCCTTCCCCTCCCAAGCAGATCTTCCCTGCTCTTTTTAAGATTGTCTTAAACACAAGTCCCTTCCTGCACTAGCTGGAGGTGGCCTGGGCAGCTCTGGCCTGCAGCCCTACGGCGCAGGCCCTCCTCCCAGCGCTCCCTCCACCAAACAAATCCTGGGGTCAGAGGGCACAAGGGCTTGGCCTCTCTGACGCGGGTTCTTGGGGCCAAGGCAGGGTTTAGGGTGGTGACTCACAGACACTCCCCCGCCCACCCCCATAAGGTTTAGCGCGCACCCAGGAGGCCTCCCCCACTCCAACAGAGACCGCTTTGTTAGCAGACTCGGTCCAAGGAGAGTTACAGCCTCAGGGCTGTGAGGGCCTCCTCTGCCTCTCCCTCCTTCCCCTCTCCCTCTCTCCCCCTCTCCCGCCCTCACCAGAAAGGCGCCGGCCCCTCCACCCTGCCCCCACCGAGCAGCCCGGCGACCGAGGCGCTGAGCTCAGCATCTCTGCGGCCGGGCCGCCTGCCTCCGGGACAGTGGGAGGAGTCTCCTGTCTCCCGGGGGTGGGCAGGGCTGGAGCCAGCCCCGCCCTTCTCCCCATCGCACTCTCTCTTTCCATCCCCTTCCGTCCCCCAGACGCACGTTATCCAAGTCACGTTCCCGCTTCCCCCCGGTAGGGGGTCGGCGGAGACAGATCACCCCCATCGCCTATCAGCTGCTCTGCATATGTCACCTCCGCGGCCGGGCTCCCCTGGGGGCGCACCTCGGCTGCGGCGGAGGGGAGAGGGAGCAGGGGATCTTCCCTTCCCCCATCGTGCCGGTCCCACTGCAGACTAGCCACTGCAGACCGCGGGGCAGTCGGTTCAGCTCTTGTGCGCTCCTCTTCCCAGAGCAGACTCTGGAAATCTAGAATTGTGTTTCTTTGCGTTTGTTTTTTAAATACAAAAGGATTCAGCAGTGGCTCCTGGATTCCTATGCCAAAGTCTGTCCCCTGGTGGGTGACAAATGGGACACCCGAAGGCGGGGAGAGGCCCTTCTTTTGGCACACCACTTCCCAGATTGGTCTTCCCCCCCGGGGGGATACCTGGAGGGGAGATGTGGTGACAGAAGCACTGTCACTTCTGGTCCTGGGGGGGTCTACCTAAAGGGAAACCCGGTGGGTGGCAGTCTGCCGGTGCCATTGAGTCAAGAGGGCTGGGCCCTGCTGAATTCTTTGAGGGGAGGAAGAACCTGATCAGATAAAACAAGGGCCAACAGAGAAGAGAAAGTTTTTTTGTCACCAACTCCAGGTGCTCACTCCACCTGTTGTACACCACCACTCCTCAACATGTACTGCCCCCCTTTCCAGCCACACAGTCCCCTTTGGCTCACAACTAAGAGTGTCGAGCTTTTGGAACCAAGGAAATGATCCATGAGTCATGGCTCCAGTCTGCTGACTCGCTGTGTGACCTCATGCAAGTCACTGCACCTATCTGAACCTCAGTTTTCTTACCTGTAAAGTGACACCGATGAGGCCTGTCCTGCCTACACTACACAAATATTAATTGTTATTTTTATTGACAGTTATAAAAATAATAAAGGATATGGAAGTGTTTTTAAAAAGAGCTCCAGAAAGGTCAAAGATCCTTGTGAAGAGGTGGCAAAGTTGCCAGGTGGGGCTGGCAGCTCCCATCACCTGCCAACCTAGGAATTCCAGAAAAGGGCCCAGGATGCAGATCCTTGACTGGGCGGCTGCCTTTTGCATAGACCTGAGTTTCCCAAACCTTTCGCTACTAAGGTCACTGGAGATAAAAAACACTTGTGAGTGAGAGTAGAAGCTTCGCAGAGGGGCAATGAAGTGGTTGCAAGCCTGGGAAAAGAAAGTTCCTGAGGATTGAGTGAGGCCTAACTGGGGAGAATGGGAGATCATGGGTACCTCATAAGGCTCCCCACCCTCAGGCTTAGATCCTTCTCCATAAAGGGGTGAGGTGGGGGGCTGGAAGATTTTAAGGTTCATTCTACTGACAGAACACTCCTGACAGTGAGAGGGCTGACTCCTCTCTCTACTGAGCACTCTAAGCCAGCCCTACTCACCCCAGCCCCTTGGGGTACCCAGAGGCTGGACAGCCCCCGGGTCTCTCTTCTCTGGAAAAACAAAAACAGCGAGCTCATTTTGCTGTCCGTCAGGCGGTGAGCCTGGATTCAGGCTGTGTCCACTGCAGCAGCCCCTGGTCGTCCCTGTCATCCCCACGCACACCCCACCCCACCCCCAGCTTGATGAACAAGCCCACCCTGACCCTGCCTCCCCTTTTGATATACGGCAGTTGGAAACCCTCAAAAGGCAAGAACACTGAGAGGGCTGGAACTGGAGCGTCTGTTTCCACCTTCTCTGGCAGACTTCCTCCAGATGGTTCACCCCCAGACAGGCCGCCTGGCCTGGGATTTTTAGAAAAGCAGCTCCATGGAACTTGTCATGATTTTTCCTTCGTTATGATCTTTGTGGAGGCTGAAGAGGCCTTCGAGATTCTCTAGTTGTGGATTTTCAAAACTGGAGTATGAAAATCCCAACACTACATGAACCCCAGGATAATCGCAGCGTATCTTTTTTGATTAAAAGGTTTTTTTTTTTTTGGAGGGGGAGGGAGAAATTAAGTAATTTAACTAGTAAGTAATTTTAAAATTTACTACTAAAATTAACACAGATAAAATGTAAAATAGAATGCAAGATTGCATTATTTGTAATAAAAATACTAGACTTCAAAGACATGTTATGCTTCCTAGAGGTTTGCTTTGGGGTCACAGCCCAGAACCTTATTCATCCTTAGTGGCCAAATAGCCTGAACTCACGTCAGCTGCCTCCTGTCCCCTCACAGGGCCTGGGCTTGCCTCAGAAAAAGAGAGCCATTTAGCCTAGGCTTCAGGTACTAATTGGAGAGGGGTGTTGCCTCACCCTCCCTCCACTTCACTGTTTTCTTTCCTCATAAGGGTTCAGAAGCCAGAATGGGAGAGGGATCCTGGGAAGCTGGCTGAACGCTGGCTCCCGAGCAGATGGGATTCCTTCCTGAGAGGCAGTGGAGTGGGTTAGTGAGCAAAGAGACAGTGCCCTGGAGTCTGGCCAGGTCCCTGGGATAGCTCATTTGACTACTCTGGCTACGTGGGAAGCAAGGTGGCAGAGCAGTGGAAGTCTGGTAGGCCTCTGTGCTTTTCACCACTGCTGGGGTAAACAAGGTCTGCCAGGATCCTAAGGCTACCCTCCTAGCTCTCGAAACCTCCACCCTTTGTCATGGTGGTTTATCAAGCCAACCCGTTGGGGGATTCCCACTGCCTTTGCCCTGTCCCCAGAGGAAACAACTTCTTGTGAAACCTAGGAGCCCAGCAGAACTGGCTGGCTCTGAGCTCACCATTGTCACATGTGGCCCTGGTCTCCACAGCTGCATGCCATCTTACTCACCCTTAATCCACCCCCAACCCACAGGGAGGCCCTTTGATAGGCTGGGGAGCCAACCCAGCATTCCTTCCAGGACCTATCTTTCTTTCTGAGAAGTCAGCAGACATCCCAACTAAAGATGAGCACCAGGATGGCTTGGAGAGCTTTTGTGCCAAAGGGCCCCATGCAGACCTACCAAATTAGAATGGGGTTGGGGAGATGGGAATCTACGGTGTATGAACTCCTCAGATGATTCTGATTACCAATCGGGCTTGAAAGCCATTGGTTGATGGAAGGATGACTGGACTCTCACTCTGAGCCTCAATGTCCTCATCTGTAGAATGGCACTATATTCCTTCCTCAGGGTGTAAGTAGATAATACATTTTAAAAGCTTCTTTGAAAGGCTGAACAACACAATGTATTGTTAGTATTTCCATTTCAAAAAATAGCTTCATTTGCAAAAAGATTCCCCACTGAATTTTTAATTCTCCCTCTAATAGCCCAATCAAAATCCTACATGCAGCTCTGGGCTGTCAACAGCTTTTCACAATCCTCCTGGTAAACCAGGTGCACTTATAATCTTGCTATTTTGACCAAGTTGTTTGTTGTTTTTCAAGTAAAAAAGCCACAGAAGTCCTGGGAACACTTTTGCTGGCTTCACTGTCCCCACCTCCTACCACCACTCCGCCCTCTCCATACCACCCTGACCCACTGGCTCCTCCTGCCACCTCCACTGCACTCAACGAGATGTTTCCAAAGGGCTCCGGAGGCGCCCCAAGCAGAGCTGTGTAGGCAAGCTGGCTGGCCTTCAGGGTATCCCATCCTGAATTCTGGGGTTCCAAGAATCACACTCCCACCCCAATATCAGGTTTAACTCCTCAAACCCGACTGTGGCAACTTGCCAGACTGAGGCCCTGGGAACCGGTGCGCAGGACAGAAACCGCCTGAACAGGGAGGGGCAGGTGGCCAGGAGTGAGTGCTCATTGACTTTAAATTGCAGGCTGCAGCCGGTCCCACGGGAATAGAGCAGAGCTGGGAAGAGGCAGAGTGTCTGCATGGTCAGGGCTCTGGCCACAAAGACTGGGACATGGGGCCTGGTTACCAACTCCAGAGGCCTGAGTCACCCAGGACGTGACACCAACCCACTCCTGCTCGGAGTTCAACCAGTCTCCTCACCAGGGTTGTCTTGATGCAGATTCCATGTTGCACATTGTGTCTATGTGATGAGTGCTCCCTGGAGCACAATTCCCCGGAAGACATACATAAATGCACAGACTCTAATGGGAATGGTGTCCTCAGGAGCTGTGCAAAGGAGGCAATCCTACTCCCACCAACAAGGGAATATAAACTTCAAAAGTATTTCTAGGAGAGTGACTGCTTGATGGGTTCACTTTGGGATGATAAAGATGTTTTGGAATTAGACAGAGGTAGTAGTTGCACAGCATTTTTTTTTTTAAGTTTTTTATTTTTGTGAGGACAATCAGCCCTGAGCTAACATCTGTCAATCCTCCTCTTTTTTTTGCTGAGGAGGATGTTAGCCCAGGGCTAACATCCATGCCCATCTTCCTCTACTTTATATGAGACGCCGCCACAGCATGGCTTGCCAAGCAGTGTGTTGGTGCGTGCCCGGGGTCCGAACCGGCGAACCCCGGGCCGCCGCAGCGGAGCGTGCACACTTAACCGCTTGCGCCACTGGGCCGGCCCCTGCACAGCATGTTGAATGCACTAAATGCCACTGAATTGTTCACTGTAAAATGGTTAATTTTATATGTGAATTTCATCTCAATAAAAAAATGTTTTAAAGTATTTTGAGGCACTTGAAGGTAAGTACTAATTGCTTTAAAAGAGTCCCCACAATAAGTCAGCCCTCTGCACAATGTCACCTCTGTCCCCAGCTTCCTGAGGTTGCTGACTATATTCCAACTGGAAGAACTAGGTTGCCTCAGAAGCCCCCCTTCCAGACCTGAGCTGAAGAGGAAGGGAAATGTTCAGCACTTGTCAGAAAGGGGATGATGGAAAGGTCACATCAAGTCCTTCTGAAGACCCACCCCAAAGGCCCACCTAGATCCTGGGAATCTAGATGTAGGTCTGCAATTCTGGGGAAATCCACCTTTTTGCTTTATCTAGCCATCCATTTATGCATGCATTCATTTATTCATCTGAGGAATATTCACTGAGCCTCTACTACATGCTGGCCACTGGAAGTTAAGATTAGAACACTACCCTCAAGAAGCACATAGTCCAGTGGGAAGACTAAAGTGGAAACAGTTATTAACAGAGATATGCCTGGGGTGTAAGGATGACCTGAGGAGGGGCACCTAAGCAATGGAGGGTTGCGGTAGGCGGGCTAGGAAAGGCTTCGTGGAGGAAGGGATGCCAGGGCTGGGTCTCTAAGGCTGCTGGTGGGGGAGCATGTCCAGACAAGCCTGACCTGCAGCCAGCCTAGGCCTGAGGGGAGTAGGAGGGGGAGAGCAGTACACCAAATGCAGGGTTTATAGGATCTTTGAGGGATTTGAAGAGGGCTGGCTCAGGGGCCAGGAGGTAGAGCTGCCTCTTCCACAGGAGGGCCACGCTTAGGGAGTTCCCCCCACCCTACCTGCTTCAGTGAAGGGAGGGGTATGTGAGGTGGTAACCAAGTCTTTCCAGCCCCAGCCAGGTAGAAGGGAGCCTGCCCTCCACCTCACAGGGTGCACCAAGACCCTTCACCTCCACTCCTCAGAGGGGCTAACCATTAAGAAACTCCCCTTCTAGGTCCAAAGCTTCTCCTGGCAGACAATGGTGTGAGGCTTTGCCCCCTCCTCCACAGGGGTGAAGAGTGTCAGCTGCGAAGCTCCAACCCCTTGCAGGTGGTTGTTTACCCTGTAGCCCACTCCCTCCTATTCTGGGAAAAGCCTCCAGAGGGAAGCTTGCAGATCTTTTTATCATCACTTTTAAAAAACACAATGAGACAACAACTTTAATGGATTTCTTTCGAAAAGAAACAAAATTACTCAGTTCCCATTAACACAGCCCTTCCCATTTGGGAAAAGCTGGTTTATTAACAGAATGACACAGTGAATGGAAAAAGGTGCTTAGCACACTGCTTCCCTGAAGGTGTTTACTGAATGAATGAATGATTCCTTGTAAACCAACCATTCCAAACTGGCTGGGAATTCTTTTGCTTATGAATATCTACTTCTTTAAAAACTTGCATTTTTCTTAGATTAGGGTTCCACATTTTTCTGAAATATTTCCTTTTTTCTACCAAAAAGGAGAGA